GGTGGGGGAGAAGGAATGGGGGTGAGGGGAGGGAGAGGGGAATTACATGTGAAACAAGCCTGTTCCCTAACTTGAATTAATAATAATAAAAAGAGAAAAAAAAAGGGATACAAATGAACTTCTAAATATATTTTAAAAAGTAAACAGTTGAAATGAGGAGACCAATATAGGATAGGAAGCAGGAATTCAATAAAGAAATAGAAATACTGAAAAAGTGGGTTCCAAGGATTGAAATTAGGTCACCATGTTTGTAGAGCAAGTGCTTTTACCAGCTGAGCCATTGCATCAGCCCATTGAAAATTTAGAAATGAAAAGCTAAGTCAAATGAAAAACCCAGTAAAGGGCCTCACAGAATGGGGAAAGTAAGTCAGAATATCAAGGACGGGCGGAGAAGAAAAACATGAGCATCCAGACCCTGAGAAAGATAATCAGGGTGTGAATACCACTAAAGACCACATTTACTCAGCACCGAGCTAATACTCTCAGCAAAAATCACGGTGGAAAGCTCCCTAAATCTAGGGAAAGAAATGAACACCCAGACTCAGGAGGTATTTACAACACTAAACAGAACAAGAAGGAAAGCATCAAAACTGCAAGGAGGAAGAACCATGTTGCATAAGGGGACACCTAATCTCATAAACAAGTACTACAGAATGAAGACATAGATCAGTCTCAACACAGTAACAGTGAGTGACCTTCATGCCAACCAGCACAACAGACAGCCTAGCCAGAAGAAAAAACAGACACACGATTGAAAAAGAAATAAGAGAAAAGTTAAACATCTGGAGTCAAATGAAAATGAGAACACAGCAAAACCTCTGAAACAATGAAATCGGCTCTAGAGGGAGGTTTATAACTACAAGAAACCCAGAGAGATCGAGAGAGCGAGATGACTGAACAAGTAAAGGCATGGCAGAAGGATAGACCTGTTCCCCAAGTTGTCCTCTGACCTCCAGAATGCAAAACACACACACACACACACACACACACACACACACACACACTCAAACCCTAAATACACAGAAAGAAACAAATTTTAAAAAACATGAAATAAAAAAGAAAACTAAAACAACAACAAAAATCAGTGGAAAAAGACTGTTCTCTGAAAAGATACAGCCAAACTAAGCAATAGTAAGAAAACATTGAAATTAACAAAATCAGAGCTTAAAAAAAAAAAAAAAAAAAAAAGACACAGATGCCAACAAACTTTTGACTAGGCTATACCTTAAAATTTATATTCTAATAATTTAAAAATTAAATGGTATGTTCCTAGGTCTAGACACATAATCCACTGAAATTCAACTAAGTGGATATAAGTAATAAATATATGAAAAGTAATAAAATATATTCTAATTAAAAGAGCCCAGGTCTAGATGGGTTCACTGTTAAACTCTACTAGACATTAAAAAGAACTAATGCCAACATTCACCAAACTAACTCATAACAGAAAGCAAAGAACTAATGCCAACATTCACCAAACTAACTCATAACAGAAAGCAAAGAACTAATGCCAACATTCACCAAACTAACTCATAACAGAAAGCAAAGAACTAATGCCAACATTCACCAAACTAACTCATAACAGAAAGCAAAGAACTAGTGCCAACATTCACCAAACTAACTCATAACAGAAAGCAAAGAATTGCTACCCAACTTTTTGCTTTGTTGTTTGTTTTTTTGAGACAGGGTATCTCTGCACCAGCCCTGGCTGTCTGGAACTCACAGAGATTCTGTTGCCTCTTCCTCTCAAGTGTTAGGATTAAAGCTGTGTACCACCACAGCCTAGCACTACCAACTTTTTGTAGTCAGTATTAGTCTGATATCCAAACAGTTAATAATAAAAAAGAAAATTATAATCTCCATGATGAACGTAAGATGCAAAAATTCATAATAAAATAGTTGCATTTCAAATTCAAGAACAAATAAAGATGGGAGTCAAGTTGGCTTCATTCAAGGGGTTGGCTTAACATTAAAAAGAATGGATGTAGTTCATCACATAAACAGACTCAAGACAGAAATCACACAATTATTCCAATAGATGCAGAGGGGCTCAACAAAATCCTCAATTCTGCCGAGCAGTAGTGGCACACATCTTTAATCCCACCCAGCACTAGGGAGGCAGAGGCAGGCAGATCTTTGTGAGCTCGAAACCAGCCTGGTCTACAGATCAAGTTCCAGGACAGCCTCCAAGGTACAGAGAAACCCTGTCTCAAAAAAACAAAAACAAAAAAATCCTCAATTCCTTCAAGACAGAACCCAGAAGAAACTAGTTATAAAAGGAAAATACCTCAATAATAAAAGCTGTATATGACAGACATACTAAACAGGAGAAAACTGAGAGCATTTCTTCTAAAACCTGGAGTAAGAAAAGGATGTCAAAATTCTTCACTCCAACACTGTGCTTGAAGAGCAGTGAGACAAGAGAAGGGGGAAAAAAAGGGTTGCAAATAGGAAATAAAGTCAGCCAAAGTTTTTGGAAGATAATGTGATTATATCTTGGGCTACAAGACGGTTTAGTGATTAAAATGCTTGCTGTGGACTTGAATTCAAATCCCCTGAACCCACATAAAAGGTAGGCATGTCAAAGATAAGTGAATCCTGGGGGCTGGCCAGCTATTTAGCCTCAACAGTGAGCTCCAAGTTCAGTGAGAGACTGTCTCCCAAAGTGAAGTGGAGAAGTGATTAAGGAAGACATTCCAATACCAACTTCTAGCCTCCACGTGTTCCTACACTAACAAGTGCACACGTGTGTGCACACACATACAGAGAGAGAGAGAGAGAAAGAGAGAGAGAGAGAGAGAGAGAGCAACCGAGCTCTAAAAAGTCCACCAGAAAACTCAGATCAAGCAAACTTTTAGCAAAATAACAATTCAAAATCTAAATTCAAAATCAGTAGCTTTCCAATATACCAGTAACAAACATGCTGCTAAATAAATAGAATAAATAAATAGAAAAAGTCTTGGAAGGAAACTGACCTAGGAATGAAAGATCTCTACAAAGAAAATTATTTGTTTACTGAGACAATATATCTCTATGAGCTCTGGCTGTCCTAGAACTTGGTGTGTAGACCAGGATGGCCTTAAACTCACAGAAATATATTTGTTTCTTCCTTCTAGGCACTGAGATTAAAGATCTATGCCACCATGTCCAGTTAACAATTTAAAAACTGAAAAAATGGAAATTGAAAACGACACTCTATGTCCAATTTAGATTACTGTGGAAAAGGCTACACTATCAAAAACAATCTACAGATTCAAGGGAAACCTCATCTAACCTTCAGCAACTCCACTAAAGAGTATATAGGTGGCACTAATGTGACTCAGTGGTGTTATAAATAAATAAATAAATAAATAAATAAATAAATAAGGATATGAAGTATGGTGGGAATGGAATGGAAAAGTAGATCTGGGAGGAAGTAGGGAATGGTTGAATATAACAAAAATACAATATATGAAATTCTCAAAGGATTAATAAAATAGCTCAATAAACTGGGCATGGTGGCACATGTCTTTAATCCCAGCACTCAGAAGATAGAGGCAGGTGGATCTCTGAGTTTGAGGCCAGCCTGATCTACAGGGTGAGTTACAGGACAGCCATGACTTCATAGTGAACCCTGTCTCAAACAACAAAATAAAATGATTTCAATAACACTTCACAAAACATATAAAAAGAGAAAATCTTATTCCTATTAAGTACAGAAGCCCTTGGATAAGCCAGTGCCATCCTCAGAAAAGAAAAAAAAAAAAAAAAAAAGAACCATTAGAGGTGTCATCATAGCTGATTTCAATTACAGCTCTACAAGAAATACACATTGCAAGGGCACAGACACCGAAAATAATGCAATAAAACCAAGGATCCAGATGTAAACTCATGTAGCTACAGCAACCTGAATGTCAACAAAATGCCAAAAACATACACTGGAATAAGGACAGCCCTTTCCAACTGACGGATACACTGGAGTAAGGACAGCCCTTTCCAACTGATGGGGCTGTGAAAACTGGATCTCCACATCTAGATCCCTGTCACCCTTTACAAAAATCAACATGTAGTGATCAGAGACTATAACCTAAGAACTGAAATTTTCCAACTGTAGATATAGTCATAGTCAAGGACTTCCTAAAAAGGATTCCAATCACTCAGGAATAATGCCAAGAACTGACAAACTGAGATCACATGTAATTAGAAATTTGTACATCAAAGGAACACAATCAAATGAAGAGCCAGCCTACAGAATAGGGGGGAAAAAAAGTCTTTGCTAACTTAATATACAATGTACATAAACTAATACCAAAAAATCAAACACCCCATCAATAAATGGGCTAATGAAATGAACAGACAATTCTTAAAGATGCAATAGAATGGGTTATTAAATATAGAGAACAAAACAGACATTTAGCATCACTAGCGGTCAAGGAAACCAAAATCAAAACGACATGGATTCTCAGAACAGTCATTAAGACAACAAACAAGAGGCTGGGGTAACAGCTCAGTGAATAAGAGCTGTTCAGATCCCAAGAACCTACAATTATGACATGTGGACATGCAGCCTGCTTTTAATCCCAGCCTTGGAAGGTGGAGATGGGAATCCTGGAATAATCTGGCTATCAAGACTAGCCTTGCCAGTGAGCTCTGAGTTTGATAAGACCCTGCCTGAAAGAATACGAAGATAGAAGAGTATCTGAGGTTTGGGACTGAACCAGGGAATCTGTGTTGTCAGAATGCTGACTCTAACAATGTATTTCAGGCAGTTTGCAGAACACACATACTGCTTCCTAGATGAGTCAGTTTACTACTTGTTTTTAGCAGAGAAACAGTAGATAGGACAGGGATCTCAGCTAAATTATCTATTTGCTTGCTTCCACCCTAAAGCTTAAACAGTGAGAAAAAAAGCAGCTAGCTATCTAAGATTTCCACTATGCTTTCCACAGTATCTCTGTAGTTCTGTATCAAAAGGAGATTTATTTGGACTGGATTACCTAGGAACACACCTGCAGGTATTTACTCAAAGAAAACATTTATTGAAGCAAAGGCCTACTTAACCAATAACAAATACACAAAGCTTACCTTACACTAACCGTTGGGGAGCTACTTACCGGGACACGATGGAATGTCTCTGTCCAGGAGGTATGCTGCCATCTAGTCTCAGGTAAGTGACCGAGGGCAGGTGAGGCTTGAGCAGGTCATGCTCCACTATGTCCAGCATGCTCTTGAGCTGACAGAAGATCAGTACTCTGTGCTGGGCCACCACAGCCTCTGTGCCACTGTCCGAGGTGCTGCCATTTCCCAAGCCACAGTCCAACAGCAACTGAGGGAAGAGATATCACACAGTTCTTCAACGGCAATAGACAACAAATATTTGCTACCTCAAATACTTCCTAGTGGAAGTGTACTATGGAAAGAAAAGGTTAAATTTAGTTGTAATTTATTCACCCATTAGTAGTTGGGGCTAAAAAAAAAAACACCCTTCCTTAGTCTCTGATACTCAATAGACCTTTAATAAAGGTTAATCCAAGGCACAAAATGTCTCAAACAAAAGTTATAAAGTAACTTCTTTAAATAAAAGATACTTTAAAGGGGATCATGTGTGGTGACACACACCTTTAATCTCAGTATTCAGAGAGACAGGCAGAACTGTAAGTTTGAGGTCAGCGTGGTCTACATAGTGAATTCCAGGCCAGTCAGGACAACATAATGAGAGCCTGGTTTTGTTTTTTTGTTTTGTTTTGTTTTTAAAGCAATTCAAAAACACACACTGTATGATTCCATTTATGTGACACAGTTAAAGAGCTAAGTCACAGAAAGCAGGTCAAGAACTGCAAAGGAAGATGGTGAGTCTCTGCTGGGTAGGCAGGGGTTCTGGGTTACAGAGTGCTTGGGACCTAGATGTTAACGACTGTTGTACAACATTGTGCATGTAATATCAGAATTGCACAGATAAAGTGACTTTTTTCTAAAGCTGTATAAAAAAAAAAACTAGTTCTGCTCCAATTTTACTGTACTTTATTAAACTGCATATGAAAAACAAACAAACAAACAAACAAACACAAAATGGCTAGATGGTGTTGGCACACGCCTTTAATCTAGCACTCAGGAGGCAGAGGCCAGTTCTGGCCTACAGAACCAGTTTCAGAGAAACCCTATCTTGAAAAAATAAAAATATTTTTAGTAGGCCAAATCTAAAAATATAGTAAATGGTAAATACATCAATGATCTTTGGGAACAGCAATTTTTTTTTTCTGGTATCATAAATTAGGAACACATTATTTTACCGTTAAAAGGCATACCTGTTTCAAAGCAGAAAGTTTAGGGGCATGCTGAATATCATGAAGCGAAGAGCTCTGGACTGCTAGTTTTTCAGTAGTACTCTTGAATTCTGGATGCTGAGGGGTTAAGACCAATGCTGGATGGTTGCACAGTTTACGTAAATATTGTAATGCCTTTTAAAAGAGGGGAAAAACAACTTATGTAACTCCAGTTTTTTCATACCACAAGTTGTATTTTTGTATCCTTTCTTTGCTATTCCAATTGTCTAGAAAATGCCTACTCAAGTGTGCAAGAACCAGTTCAGAGCTAGGCAAGCTGCTTTGTTCCACAAAACACAAGCATTAGGACCAGACTTCAGATCCCCAGTACCCACATTAAAAGCCCAGTGGGCATGGTGAACTGCCTGTAATTCCTTGCACAGGAGAACCCCTAGCCAGCTAAGCCTAAATAAAGAGCAAGCTGTGAGGCTCAGAAAATAGGGAGCAATCTGGAAAAATACCCAAGGGGGGGGGGGGTGGGGGGGGGGGGGGTGGGGTGGTGGTGGTGGTGGTGGTGGTGGTGGTGGTGCACACCTTTAATCTCAACACTCAGGAAGCACAGGCAATAGAAGCCAGCCTGGTCTACAGAGCGCCACCACCACCCGACATTCTTGAATTTTTAAAAGTAGTTTAAAGCCTCTACCTGGAATACATGACCTGTAGCTTTAAGCTTTGGTTTTTCAGTTTCTTCTGAAAGTGCAGCTGAAGACACGGTCTCATCAACATCACACTTGGCACGAGACTTAGCAAAATCTTCATAAAGCTGAACCTGTAAAATAATCCCCAGGGAAACATTATACATTTTAAAACATATCCAAATATATATTGAGTAAAGCCAACAACAGTAAATTAAACCAGCCTTCATTAATTAAAGCAAATTATGACACTTAACCCTCATTATTAGTATTAGAGATCATCCTGTCATCTGCGTTGTCCCTTTAAATTTACAGAAAAATTTTAAAAATTAATGTGTTAAGTTAGCTATAAAGTATTAAATACAAACACACATACACACTAAATTTTTCCATTTAGGAAAATATATTGCCAATAAAAGGAAACCAGATTATTATTTACAAGTAAATGAGAAGTCTCTTTTATTTATTTATTATTTATTAAAAAAAAAAATGAGGCTATTAAAAAAAAACCTGTAAGTGGAGGCTGGAGAGATGGCTCAGAGGTTAAGAGGCTGCTCTTCCAGAGGTCCTGAGTTCAATTCCCAGCAACCACATGGTGGCTCACAACCATCTATAATGAGATCTGGTACTCTCTTCTGGTGTGCAGACATACATGGATACATAATAATAAATAAAATCTGTTTTAAAAAACCCAAAAACCTGTAAATACATTCTAAGACCAGATTTTAAAAGCATGTTATGGCTAGTTCAAAGCGTTACCTTGTATTGACTAACATAATGCAAAAGTAAAGAAAATCTATCAAAGAACAAAAACCCATAAATACTAAACAAAGCCAAAATGTCACTTCCCTCTAGAGTTCTCTTCCAGGGTTTCTCTGGGTAGCCCTGACTGTCCTGGAACTCAGAGATGCTCCTGCTTCTGCCTCATGAGTGCTGGGATTAAAGGTGTGGTATGTACCTCCACAGCCTGGCCCTTCCTCCAGATTATCTAAATGTGATGTTTGCCTTTAGTATAGCACTATCACTACGATTTTTCCCTCAAAGAGCAAAAAGTATCTCATCACTCTTCAAACATTCCTTCCAAGAAAAAAATTTGTTTTTTCCTTTTTCTTTTTTAAGACACGGTCTATGTCCAGGCTGTCCTGGAACTCACTATGTACACCAGATGGCTTCGAACTCAAGATATTGACCCAAAATTAAAAGCGTGTGCCACTATGCCCAGCTTCCTTTCAAGAAATAATAAAAACTGGGAGTTTATTGACTAAAAGGACTGGTTATTGAAGAGCTGAGGCATAGAAGAACCAGAGTTCTTGGCCTCCAGAACAGTGTCCTGCTCACTAAACCCAAGATGAACAGATCGCTGCTGGCTCATGGGTGATAATATTACCATGTACCGGAGAAGAGAAAACTAAGACTTCGGATGAGTCTTAAGTCTTTGATTCATTTGACCTTACCAAACCAACTAATACTGAAACAAAATATAAAATAATCATCTGAGTGGAAAAATCTGACAGAAATGGTTTCCATTTATAACCTTAGGGAAATATAAGGAAAGAGTCACGATAAATGCTCTTCTAATAGTCTCTGTGTAAAAAGTCAGAATTAGGCAAAATTTAATTGGAACATGGATAGAAAACAACTAATACTTCAAACATAATAAGGTCCTGTTGACCAAGACTTTACACTTAACTCTAATAGTGAGGTTAAGCAAGTTATTTCCTTTTTCTGAGTTTTGCTGTATCTGCAAAAATAGGGACTATAGTGGTACACGCCTTTAATCCCAGCACTCGGGAGGCAGAGGCAGGGGGATCTCTGTGAGTTCAAGGTCTACAGAGAGAGTGCCAGGATAGGCTCCAAAGCTACACAGAGAAACCCTGTCTCGAAAAACCAAACCAAACCAAACCAAACCAAAAAAACCAGGGACTATATAATGCCTCTAATGCCACCATAAGGATGACATAATAAAGACTGGTTTGTAGTGGCATCCTCTGCCACTTTTTGCTTCTCCTACTTTCAGTTACCAGTGATCTGAAAATACTAAATAAAAATTCCACAAATAAACAAATTGTATCATGAAATCATGTGTCACTCTGTGTGGTAAAATCCCATGCCATCCCATTCTCTTCTGTCAGGTATGTAAATCATCATCCTTTTGTAAGCACATGCCTGTGAGATATGGCACCTGTCCATAAGTCATAGAGTCCCAATTCCAATATGGATCAACTGTCACAATTCTCTGTAATACCTGTGTTCAAGTAAGCCTTATTCACTCAGTAATAGCCCCAAGGCACAAGAGCAGTGAGGCTAGAAGTTTGGCTATGCCAAAGAAAAGCCATAAATGCTTTAAGTGAAATGTCTCAAGGAGAAAGTGGTGGTGCGTTTATGTGGTAATTTGGGGCCAGATTCCAGAGGATTATTTTCTTACTGTTGGAGGGGAGAAGAGCACGGGTCTGTTTTAATCTACAGAATTCAGCTCACTGTCCTTAGAGAAAATACGCTATTCCTTTGAAGGGATATCTCTAGTCTCTTCCACTGGAGTGAGATGTGTTTCATGTTTACACTCTACTATTAACAGCTAGATTTAAGGAATCTGGCTAGTTACCATATAAACCTAGAAGAGTTTAATTTTCCATAGGCATCTGATAAAAATAAAGGCCATTATTCTATCAACCACGACAATGAGCACATTCCTAACCTGGAGAGGGCTAAGAGTACAGTAATAGTCTTGAATAATTTTAGGTGGAAGATCCTGCAAGACATCTTCTTTCATTCTTCTCAAAAGGAATGGCAGGACTTGGCGGTGCAGTGCATCCATAGCAAGAACACCTGTCAACAGTGAGAACACAGCTTTAAATATTTGGAGTAAATCATAAATCACAGGGACTTACTGTTACTCCTTCTTACCTGCTTCTTGTTCTCGACTTGAGCTTCGTGCATCTCTACTCGCTAATATAGGTTTACCATATCGAGCAGCAAACTGGCGTTCGGTACCCAAAAATCCAGGCATAAGAAAATCAAATAGTGACCACAACTCCAAAACATTGTTCTGAACATAAAAAAGAAATACCAATTATTTTTTCTTCAGTTTTGAAAATATCATTTCCCATTACATCTGGATCCTAATGTGCCCCCCTCACGTGTCTCCTCCTCAGAGGCCTCCTCATCCAGCCCAGGCTCAGCAAACAGCTGCTCTCTCACATGAACATCCTTCTAACCCTGCTACAGCTCTGAAGAGCAGAAACCTGACAGCTTCAAAACTCAACTATTAAAGTAGGGAAATGGGAGAGAGATGGCCTTTTAGCTAGACAAAACCCCCAACCTTCTAATGTCTCAAACAAGTACGAGTAGTAACCTAAAAATAAACCTAAAAGTCACAGGACATGGTAGCACATGCCTTTAACACCAGTATGCAGAAGGCAGATGCAGGTGGATATCTGCAAGTTCAAGGCCAGGCTAGTTTACAGAGTGAGTTCCAGGAGAGCCAAGCTATACATACAAACCCTGTCTTGATAAAACCAAAATAATAATTTCCCCTCCCCCTTTAACTTGTGAAGCCATCTTTATTTTGTTCACATTTTTTCATTTATTGCACTGTCATATGTTTTAACATTAAAAACTGTTCTTCAGGAATCAGGTAAGTGGTTACAGTCAACAACAACATATATTAATTTAATGACATTAATAATGCCAAGTATTTTTTTTTTTTTGCTTCATTCTTCAATATTCTTTTGTTTGTCTCTGGAGACACCTCACAGACTCTTTCGGAGCTCTCTGTATAAAGTATGTTTCAAGATGGACACATATGAAAGTCACCAACCACAAGAAGCCAGCTCTTTCTACTCCAACAGGGGTTTTTCATTTCTTCCTTTATTACCAAGTTCAGATTCAAAGTTGCTTCTTTCTGAAAACTGTAAGCTTGCTACTTTTCCTAGATTTGACTCTTTGGTTGACTTCCAAGTGCCAGACTATCTGGTTCAGTGTATCAGCCTTAGGGATTTGGAAGACAGGGCTGCTTTTGATTCTGTGCCACCCCAAATTTATGAACCCAATTTATGGTACCATGACAATCAGAACTTGTATTCTCTGAAGCTCATAGTCCACTGACATCAGTACACCTGCCCACCAGAGACTGAACCTCAAAGCCAGGCCTCCCTCGCCCTCACTGCCCCCAGGACCCAGAAGCTGTGCTAGCACAGCAACCGCATCTCCTCCCTTTTAATGCACTTTAAAACACACATATACAAAACAAACTTTGGGCTAGGGGTTTAATCCAGAGGTTACACTTGAGGTCCAGGGTTTGATCCCCAACACAACAAAATAATGACAACAAAAACCAAAAACCCTTAGTAAGTTTAGAAAAAACTGTAAATGAAAAGCTTCTCTCATCATTATTAAAATATGCAGTATTCACCTTAGAACAGTGATTCTCAATCCTGATACTGTGACTCTTTAATACAGTTCCTTATGTGGTGACCCTCAACCATAAAATTATTTTGTTGCTACTTCAAAACTGTAATTTTGCTGCTGTTTGAACCCTCATGTAAATACTTGGTATGTGAGATATCTGATATGTGACTCCCCTCAAGGGTCAAGGGGTGGAGACCTAGTCCTACAGGTTGAGAATCACTGCCTTACAATAAGCAGTCACTGCTAAAAATAAATTCAAAATAAAATTAGAAGCCAAGTGTGGCACAACCCTTTGGTCCCCAGCACTCCTGAGGCAGAAGCAGAGAGATCTCTGAGTTTGAAGCCAGTCTACATAGGGAGTTCCAGGACAGCCAGAGTGATGTAAAGAAACCCTGACTCAAAAGAAAAAAATAGAATTATAAAGAATTGCTGCGCATGACGCACACATCTGTATCCCAGTACTTGGGAAATTGAGGCAAGTAAAATAAATTTGTGGCCAGCTATACTAAAGACCCTGCCTTAAAAACAAAACAACCACAACATCAATTTTTAGAGCTAGAAAATATCCTTCCACCAATTGGAGAATGATCAAGGTGATCTTCCTGTCAGAGATGGCCATCCAGGTTAGAGAGGAACATTTGCTGAATTTTTCACACTTCTGCTGTGGGGTGAGATTCATTTCTAAGTTGGTGCTAGATTTTCAGTGCTAAATCAGATTGCTGAGTAATACTATAGGATTAGAATCAATCTGTTTCATACATTGAACAAGTGTTACTTAAACAGCCTAAAATTAGAGTGTAAGCATGATCTTTAATAAAACCTGACCAGTTTAAGCAAGCAAGCAGATCTTTGATTTCAAGGCCAGCATGACCTACACATAGTGAGTTCTGAGCTAGTCACAGCTATACAACAGGGTAGATGGAACACCTTGAGTGGTAGCTCAGTGTAAAGAGCACTTGCTGCTCTTAAAGAGGACCAAGATACAGTTCCCAACACCTACAACAATTTCACGGAATGTGACACCCTCTTCTGTCTCTGCGTGTTCCTTATAGAGGAAAAACATTCTCACACACATAAAATTAAAAATATATATATAAATGTAAAATATTTTTCATGATTCATTATGAAAGAAAGGTGTGGTCATGCACACTTGTAATCCCGGCATTTAGGAAGCAGAGGCAGGGGGATTACAATGAATTTGAGACCAGTTTAGTCTGTCTAGCGAGTTTCAGACCAGCTAAGGGCTACATAGTGAGATCCTGCCTTAAAAACAAGACAAAAGGGCTGGAGAGATGGCTCAGCAGTTAAGAGCACTGACTGCTCTTTCAGAGGTCCTGAGTTCAATTCCCAGCAACCACATGATGGCTCATCTGTAATGAGATCTGGTGCCCTCTTCTGATGTGCAGATATATATGGAAACAGAATGTTGTATACATAATAAATAAAGAAAATCTTAAAAAAAAAAAAAACCCAAACCCAAACCCACCCCACCCCAACCCAACCCAAACCATACTTGCCTAGTTTAACTACTGCCATATACCAAAGGAACCTTTATAAACACAATTTAACTACTGAAAATTTTGTGTTATCTTTATAAACTAAAAGATGTACTTAGTAGCCGGGCATTGGTGGCGCACACCTTTAATCCCAACACTCAGGAGGCAGAGGCAGGCAGATCTCTGTGAGTTCGAGGCCAGCCTGGTCTCCAGAGCGAGTGCCAGGATAGGCTCCAAAGCTACACAGAGAAACCCTGTCTCAAAAAAAAAAAAAAAAGATGTACTTAATTTACTGCTAAATGCCATTCCTCCTGGCAATTTTGTTGTTTTTGTTTTAAACAGGAAGAACAGTAAACAATTACCTGGATTGGTGTTCCAGAAAGAATAATCCTATAGTTAGCAGTCAGTTGTTTTACTGCTTTTGACAATTTAGTTTTTCCATTTTTTATGACATGGCCTTCATCAAGAATACAGTAGTTAAATTTAATATTTCTAAGGAAAAATAAATAAAATGTTATTTTTTCATATATATCAGACATTATAGGAACAACCTTACAAACAAATAATTAAGTATTTGTAATTTCAATATCAAATTTTTCTCATTTTTGCTAGAAATATTTCATAGAGACTACATACAGAAAAATCTACAATTCTGATGTGAATGGATGCATGAATTTTATAAGGTACACTTACACACATAGCCACACTTCAGTGCAAAACATTGTGTTCCAGCAACCTGGGAATGTCTTTTGTGTTTTCTCCCAACTAAGTTTTTAATTTAAATTAGCATGCATTCGCTGTACAAACTGATGGTTTGGTTGGCATTTTCACACATATACACCAAGAATGTTTGCTATTCATATTCAGTACCCCCATGACTCCATCTGACTCCCCCCTTACCTATCAATACTAAATTTTTCTAAAGAATATTTGAATTCTTACCTAAAAAAGTCTATGTCATTCCTCACAACATCATATGAAGCTACTATCAGATTATGTCTTTTTACTTGATGCTGTAACCTTTAAGAAAAATTAGGAAACAGAAATCATTAATTTCTTAATACAATTTTATTGGTTTGTTTGTTCATTTTTTGAGAAACGGGGTCTCTCTGTGTAGCCCTGGCTTTTCTGGAACTCTCTGTAGACAAGGCTGGCCTCAAACTGACAGACCTGCCTGCCTCTGTTCTCTAAAGGCATCACCACTGTCATCTTAGTATAATTTTAATAGTGTAACTACAGCTACAATTATAAAGTGCTTCAATTTGTCTATTGAGCATTTGTGTTCACCCTGTATTTAACAGACCACATTCTTTAAGATGCAGACTTGCTATCTGGCTCAGGAAAAAAGATAAGCACCTAACTCAAAATATACCACTTTGTCAGTATCTCTGCTTTTGGGACACATTCCTTTCCCACTCAGTATGTGGAGCTTATCAATCATATATCCCCATAATGGAAAAAGATGAAGCATCAGAACCAGGTTAAACTATTTACAAGATTTTGTCCTCTGAACATGATTCACAGCCAGTCTTGTTCAGTACTGAAGAATCTCTGATCAAAGAGGAAAACCTACTTAGTATTGTAGTGGGGTTAGGAGAATGTGGGCTTGACCCATTTACCCATCAACTGTACAATAAAGTCAAGAAAATACCAACTCAACAAATTACGTCTGGGAAGGAAGAACAAGTAAGAGTACTTGTTTCTAAAGCAATAATTCAGGCTTGAAATTTGAGGGAGTAAATTTCACCCTGTTTACTAACACTAGCTTGAGTTAAATTCCTATCACAAATTCATGAGATGCTATTGGGACTGCTGGAGTGCAAACGTTTGAACTGCTTATGTTCAAATCCTCACTCTGTCTGCTTAACAAACTTAAGTGATCTTGGACCCAAGACCTATGCTTTACAACTATCTCAACAGTACACCTTAGAGAAGTGGTTCTCAACCTTCCTAACACTGTGACCCTTTAGTACAGTTCCTCATGTTGTGTCGACTCCCAACCATAACATTTTATCACTACTTCCGAACTGTAATTTTGCTACTGTTATGAATAGTAATGTAAATATCAGCTATGTGAACACCCCCCCCCAAGAAGTAGCAACCTACAGGTTAAGAACTATAATGCCTTAGAGGGTGGCTGAGTGCACAATTGCTGACACAACAGTGGTGTATTTACAACAGCCACTGTGGACCAAAGGTACAAGAAACTGAAGTGGGAAAAAAGGAAACAGAAATACTTAGAGAATAGAAAAGAGAAGGAGGTGCTGTAGTCACAAGGTCCTCAAAAGAGCAGGGTGGACATGCTTGCTTCTAGTTTCTCATACGAAATACTTAGAATGACAGTGGGTGGGACAGTGGCTCAAGTCCTTTATTCTGGTGAGCTTTACTGATGTCTTCCTAAAGTATTGCCTTCATTAAGTTGGGTTCCTATGGTTATAATCAGAGCTAACTATAATTCACTTCTAATAAATTTTGTACTTCCAAACTATTTAAAATGTGAAACTTTTTGTTGTACAGTTCTTACCTTATCCTTTCAGTGGGAGGGCCAGTATAATGCAATGGATTGAGATATTCTCTGGAGCAAAATTTACCTACTTCATCTACCCAATGCCCTGTTAATGTTGGTGGACAAACCACCAAGGATGGAAGTGGCATACATTCTGCTAGTTTCGATCTTGCGTACTCCTGGGCCCTTTACAAGAGAAAAAATAATTAAGCAACTTTTTTTTTTACATTCATCAGAATTTAGAACCTTTATTTTAAAATAATATTTTAAATTACCTCTGACAATGATCTCCTGCTAGAATGCAGATGGACTGTAATGTTTTTCCTAAGCCCATGTCATCACACAGAATTCCATGAAGCTTATATTTATTAAGAAAGGCTAACCAGTTCACACCATCCTAGAAGGTTGGGTAGAGAAAAGAAAATTATAAATGTAAAAAGATCACAAGAATTTTTTTCTTGTAAAACATATTTGCATGGACCTAAATCTTTACATTATCAAAAGAGAAATCAATATAGAAATTAAGCCTAAGATTTTACTAAATCAAATAGAAAAAGTGACTTCATTTTTACAAGATGAAGAATAAACTTACCTGCTGATACTTTCTTAGTTCAGCATTGATTGGTACTGGGATCTTATAATTTTCTAACTTCTTCCCATCTAATAATTGCTCTAAAAAGTGTCGTTCTTTTGCTTTCATTTGGATTAATTCTTCTGACATGTTTGGAGGGTCTGGAATGCCTGCCTGGAATGATTTTTAAAGTGTATTAAAATTAGTTTAGAGATAAGTTTATATTATATTATATTTATATTATATTAGTTTAGAGATAGTTTAGAGGTAACCTGCTCATTTCTCTAGTGCCTTACTAGCATTAAAAAGCCCTGATTTCAACAATGGCACTGCTTGAAACTGTATCTATAATTATAGTACTCATGGGTTGGAGGCAGAATTCAAGTTCATGCTCAGCCACCAAGAGTTTAAGGTCAGGCTGAGTTACAAGAGATCTTGTCTCAAAAAGAAGTATTAACTAATACTTGTTCCATGGGTGGGGTAGCAGGAGGACCCCCCCCCCTCCACAGTCTCACTATGTTATCCAAAGGCCTTGATCTCACTAGATAGTCAGTTGATGCTGTTTACTAAATTTCTTATCCTAAAATGTTATCAAAAGAATTCAGTTTTATTAAAACAAACACACACAGAGAAAAAAAGTAATTAAAAACAGTATAAAGATTTGAGGGTAAATAAATATAAAGATTTTGAAAGATGTTAAAAATGCTTGAATTAGACAAAATATACTCGAGGCATTTTAAAGAACATAATTAGGACTTCATTTTACAGTGTTAATAAAAAAACAAAGATATATAATCTAATTTACATTCCATGCTATTGAGAACTATCAGTTTTGTGGTGTTCTAATGTCCTCAGGTATTGAATCAAAATATAGCATGTAAAAGTCCCAATGAGTATCTAAAACCTTTCTACTGTTTTATAAAATTACAAGTTTATAAAAAGGAAGGAATTGTGCTTTTTTTTTCCATTTTGTTAACATCTGTAGAGTTTTGTAGCAAAACTGTCATTTGTAACTACCAGTCAGGTTCATCGAAGGAAGGCCCTTGCTAGGCTGATGAAAATGGCAATTGCTACTAAATCTCCTCCTTGAGCATGAGACAAATGTGACTACATACAAAGCACTTCTGTTCCTTTTCAAAATGCAATATATGGGAGTTGAGGGTGGGGGCAGAAGCACTAGAGACTGTTAACTGTGTGCTAAACTAGCCTTATTTTTCCCCTTAAATAATTTAAACACATCAGTATCCTTGACATATTGTGTGTGATGTTCACAGATATACCCTGACTGTATGCAGCCTTATGTTTCAATATTGATTTGATTTTTGTGTGTGTGCGAATATACACATGCTCATGAATGCATAAAGGCCAAAGGAAGATGTCAGGTGTCCTACTTTGTCACTCTCCAGCATCTTCCCTTCATTGTCTCACTGAACCTAGCCAGTGATCCTACTGTCCTGCCACTTAGGTGACAGGCATGTGTGGCCACATCATCTCAGGTTCTCATACTTGTGCAGCAAGCACTCTTACTATCCACTGGGAAATCTCCTCAGTCCATCATGCTCTTGAGATAAATATTTATAAGCTGGGGGTATAGCCAGTTGGTAGAACACTTGTCTATCATATACAGGCTCTATGTTATATTCTTAATACCATAAATACAAAATATTTATAGTTAACAACTCTGGATCATGTAATTACTGTTCTTTTAAAACTAATTTTACCCATGGAGATATAAAATATACATTAACATAGCAGGGTTGCTTTGTGTTTCCATGTTTGTTTGGGAGATGAGATACATTACGTTACTTCAACCTGAGTGAGGTATTTTAATAGGGATGAACCTAAATTCAATCCTCTGACTTTCACAGCCACACGCATACAAAAACAACAAAAAAAGATTTAAAAACAGTTGTCATTAGTAGTAGAAGTATTAGTATAAATTCGTGAACTTACCTCTAGTGGCATCAGTCTAATTAATGTTGCAAAGCACTGAGTAGCCATGAATCTCACACTGTCTGTCTGATCACTCATTCTTCCTAATACAGGAACAACTAAAAGGACAATATATGGAACAATACCAACATCCAATTGTTCCATAACACCTGAGTAAGCCATCAAGGAAATTTCAAAAATAATTCCCAGGTAGATGTCTTCACGTACTAGTATACTAAGATTGTAACTTCAGCATTAAAAAAAAAAGTGACATTTTCAGACTTGTAAATAATATATCCTGACCATTTGCTTTTTATTGCTTTCTGAGTCAGGGTATCCTATAAGCCTAGAATGGCCTTGAACTCTTGATCCTCTTGCCTCTATCTCTTGAGTACTGGGATTACAGACCTACACCATGCTGCCAGGCTCAAGATTATGACTTCTGTTAGTAATTATGTAACTATTATAATTAAAAATATAAAATTGCAAACCAAACAGTAGTGGTGCCTGCCTTTAATCCCAGCACTCAGGTGGCAGAGACAGGTAGATCTCTGTGAGTTCAAGGCCAGCCTGGTCTACAAAGTGAGTTCCAGGACTATGCAAAGAAACCCTGCCTGAAAAAAATCAATATAAATAAAATAAAATTGGGGCTGTAGATGTGGCTAAGCCTTTATGAACATTGGATGCTCTTCCAAAGGACCTGGATTTGATACTCAGAACCCACATAGTAGCTCATAACCATCTATAGCTCCAGTCCCAGGGAATCTCATGTCCTCTTCTAGTCTCCAGACATACCTGCAGGCAAACACCCATACACATAAAATCTATCTATCTATCTATCTATCTATCTATCTATCTATCTATCTATCTATCTATCTATCTGCTTATTTATCTATCAGATGTGTGTATTTCTAACAGTTAAAGATTTTATGAATATGGGTGTTCTGTTCACGTATCTGTCTATATTTGCGTGCCTGGTACCCGAGGAGGTCAGAAGAGAGAGTCAGATTTCCTGGGACGGGGGTCATGGGACAGCCTGTGAGCTATCATATGGATACTGGTAATCAAAATCCAGATCCTCTCTACCACTGAACAATCTCACCAGTGTGTGTGTGTGTGTGTGTGTGTGTGTGTGTGTGTGTAATATTTTTGTCTAAAGGGGAATAGAGAACTCTAACAATAAAGGAGTAGAATTCAGTGTCACACAAAGATTAATTCCAAATTTCCCACCAAAATCATAAAAATCACCACCTGGATATACTAAACCTAATCCTGTGGCTGTGAAAATTCTGAACCAGGTTTCTATTGATTTGATCTTATCCACCTTTCTTGTTTTGAAACATGGGGTTTACACATTCTGAGTTAAACAATGGCTGCCAGGTCCTTAAAAAGAGCTTATAGTACATTTCTAGATTCAGTATATTTCAGTAGAAAGCAAAAGTTTATATAACCTGAAGAGAAACCAGAGTTTAACATGATTTTAATCACTTTCCCCTGGGGAAAAAAAAGAAAAAAGTTTGGAAACATACATTTAAGGTAAATATAACCTATCCAGTATTTAATTAATACTAATGAAACATTAATTATAAGATCAACAGATCAGTTACTAGTTTAAATTACATAAAATCACTTTACTAAAAACTTACCCTGTCTTAAGTAGTTCTTTAAGCTTTTAATATGAAATTTTAATAATGATATATAATCAAATGAATTCATAGTAAAATGTGAAATACTTCAAAATAAAGTGTAAAACTGTCATTTTGGAATAAAGCAGATTTACATGCATTTTAAAATGAGTGAACTTTGAGTTAGTCTTCAATACATGAATAAAATTTCTCAAGTTTGACAAAATAAAGGATACAGGCAAGTGCTTCAATTGCACCTTCTTGTTTGATATTGTCATCAATTGCTCCCAGCCACGGAAGCACCTTCTCTAAAAAAATATTCATCGTTTCCATGGTGGCTATTTTGCTCATGACACCTATGCAGCGAGCTGCCATGTGCCTCACCGCAGTGCTGGGGTACTGAAGGCACATATACAGATGAGGCAAATGCTGTACCAGCTTTAAAAAAACAACAATAACAAAACAAAAAGCAGTCACAATACTTATTAGGGAATACTTACAGAGTTCAGTGTTCCTAATTTTGTTCTAGGTACCATACTTTGGTGGGTATTTCCATATTCTGGATTACCATAGCATTATGATCACAGCAGCATCTCACTGTTAAATGTCCATTGCATAGAACAATGATAGCCAACTACTTGTTCAACAGTGAGGCCAGCCTCACATTTCAGCTGAATACAGGGACTAAAGATGGGAGTTCTTTCTTTACTAATTAATATAAGAAGATGGGGAGAGCTTTGAGATGGGGACTGGTGTTGTCCATGCTTGCCTCGAACTTCTGTACACAAGCAATCCTATCTAACCTCTCAAGAAAATGGAAAACAGATACAGGCCACTATGGCTTATCAGAAATTCTTAACAAGCAAAAGGACATACTACTTTTCTTCCTAATATTGCCCTGATTCACTTTTATGAATCTTCATTTTAATGTTACACAGCTATAAAGAAGTAAAGCTACAACTGTTTGCAATACAATAAATTGTAAAGAGCCTTCCTAATGTAGACATATGGAACGATTTTTTTTTTTTTATGAAACCAAATAATTTTCTACTTCCCTCTTTCCTCTGCAAACTCTTTTGCTAAAAGTGTAACAGTAAAAACCAAACCAAAACCAAAGCCACACACACGAGTATCCCCTGGCCAATGACCAGCTTCATCTTAGCACACGATCTCTTGCTTCTCAAGACATCCTTCTGCCTGAGCTATTCCTATTGTTGGTCAACACAGCCTACAATTTCCTTTCTCTTTACTCTTTCCCCTTTCCTTCAGAACCCTTTCTACAATGCTCCCGAAATTAGAAAGCTGAGTTTTCTATCATTCCTGTACTGTATTTGTGAGTCCCATACAGAAGAATCTAGTTATACCAAATTTTTTTGAAAGAAACACCATACATATTAATTACCAAGGGATGAAGTGCAGAATCCATCGAGGCTGCTGCTATTTCAAAAACTTGCAGAGAATTCACCAATTCTTGAGCAGGAACATCACCTCTTTCCAGGAGGGACTTTCCATCTATTCAAATGAAAGTTGTATCACTTTTTACATAACTTTCAAAATCTAGAGACCACAAAAAATATTAGTACCCTCTCAGCTAGTATAGAAGTGTCAACAAGAAAAGAGGAGATGATTGGGATGCCCTTCTGTATATATGTTTCTCTTATTGGTTGATGAATATAACACTGATTGGCCAGTAGCAAGGCAAGAAGAATAGGTGGGGCTACCAGACAAGAATGCTAGAGAGAGGAGGCAGAGAGAGGCTGCATGGAAATGCCGTGTAGCCAAGGAAGGAGTAATAGGTTCAGACCCTTCTCCGGTAAGATAAGAACATGCTGAAATGATTAGATTAATAGAAATGGGTTAATATTAAACGAGATCTAGCCAAGAAGCCTGAGCCACCGGCCAAACAATTTAAAAAAAAAAAGTGTCAACAAAGCTTTTTGCATTAAAAATGGTGTAGTGTGACATTAAGTGCTCAAATACTGCACCAAATAGATTTAAATAATAATTCATTTCCAAATCTGTTTTTTAAATATACAAAAGGGGAAAAGCATACAGAAGAATTTGAAAATTACCAGTCTTCCATTTTAAAAATTACCTACTGGTCTAAGATAGAGATATGCAGTTTTCCTCTCCCTCCCTCCCCCCCCCCCTTCCCCCCCCCCCCCTCTTTCGAGACAGGGTTTCTCTGTATAGCTTTGGAGCCTGTCCTGGCACTTACTCTGTAAACCAGGCTGGCCTCAAGAGATCCACCTACCTCTACCTCCTTAAATGCTGGGATTAAAGGCATGCGCCACCACTACCCGGTGCAGTTTTTTTTTAAAAGGTTATCTGATACACACTGAAATACCTGAACTGAATGCATACCAAAATTATTTAGGTCAATCATAGTCGTCAACGGGCCAACCATGGCATCCCAAAGATGTGGCAACTTCACTGCCATTTCAGCACCAAAATGCTTCACTATAGTTGTTAAGGCAAATTCAGCTCCTCTCCGTTGTACCAGGTAAGGCTTCTGACCCTAAAATCCAATGTTAGTTGAAGAAGAATTTTAGAAATGAGCATTATGCATTAAAATTTTAATGAAGAGGATTTTAAAGTCACCACCTAGAAGCTGACAGTACTTTTGCCAATGAAACAATTACTAGATGCATTTATGACCCCCGAAAACATTTTCCAATAATCAACTCCACACAGGCAAAAAACTCATAACTGGATTTTTTGTCTAAAATAAGAAATAAAAGGATACCTGACTACTAGAAACAGTCACCAGTAGTATTTTTTAAGTGTTCCCTGACTCTTAGAAACAGCAGTCTCAGAGATGAAACCATCTATCTCCACTCCATATGTGCAAACTTGCACGCACGCACACACGCATGCATGCACACACATACACAGTTTCTCTATGTAGTTCTGGCTGTCCTGAAACTCACTTTATGGCTTCCAATTCAGAGCAACTGCCTCTGCCCCCCAAGTGCTTGGATTAAAGGCATGCACCACCAATGCCAGACACTTTTTTATTAGTAATTAGAGTCATAAAGTGGCTTCTCTCAAAGAACACACACAGACTTTTAAAGTGGAAAATCTATACAGAGCATGGCGATACAATCAGGAGGCTGAGGTAAACCTATCACAAAGAACTTGAGGCTGGCCTGGACCACCCCTACAAAAAAAGAAAGAAAACAAAAGAAGCTCGGGAGTGGTAGTACACACCTTTAATCCCAACACTCAGAAGCAGAGGCAGGTGGATCTTTGGGAGGAGTTCGAGGCCAGCCTAGTCTACAAAGGAAGTTCCAGGGCGGCGAGAGCTATTATACAGAGAAACCCTGTATCAGAAAAATATTAAAAAAAAAAAAAAAAGAAAGAAAAGAAAAGAAAAGGAAAAACAAGAGCTGTATCAAATCATGGTAAAATTTTCATGAAAGTTATGGACAGAGATAATTGGTCAAACAGATTTATAAAACGTTCAAAAGAAACAGTGGAGCCAAGGTAAGTGCTGTGTCTAACAATCAAAAGAACAGGAATAGTCATCCCATCGCTAATATGCTACTTTAAGAGCTATGGTTATGGCAGTACAAAACCGTTGCCTGTACTCCCTGTCCAACTCTTGTTCTTAAAACTTGTAATCCTCTACCTCAGCCTCCCAAGTGTTTACCACCATACCCAGCCTAAAGCACTTTCTGCAACACCGGTTATGGGACAAAGATGTAGCTCAGTCAGCAGTGTTTGCCCACCATGCACAAGGCCCTGAGTTTCATTCCCAGTACCGAAAAGACCAATAGACCAGGTATGGTGGCATCTGGGAGGTGGGTACAGGAGGATCTCTCTCTCTCTCTCTCTCTCTCTCTCTCTCTCTCCTCTCTCTCTCTCTCATATGCCACAACAAACTGGATGGAAAAATCATATAAATCATCACAAATAGGAAGCATCTTTATAGCAGAGATGAAAGGATTTAAAGTGAAGTGACGGCTGTTCATATGGAAAACTAGATTTAGAACCTTACCCTGGCAAAACACATTTAATGTAATACCTGGTTGACTAATATTAGGTGTTACTATTAGGGCACTTGTAAACTTTGTCTCAGAACATCACTAGAATTGTTGGCATTGATAGGACGAAGAACAATTAGTCTAGTCATCACTGCCATTTAATATGACCTTTGCAGTCAATGTTTTGAGAGTGAGTTGGTTTACATTTACGAATAGCTTATGCACCTACTATCAAAAGGGGTAGCTACCAAACAACTTAAGTTACATAAATTACAAGAGAAATGAGAATTTAAAAATTAAAATATTCTGGTAATGTTGCCAAAATACTTTAAAAAGCTATTAATTCACTTGGAAGCACAAAAATACAATTCTGAAAGTTAGTAATACAACTTTGTTCTTAATCTAGAAACTAAATATTTAAAGAGTAAAAGCGTTCAGAGAGGGGGGCAAAAAAACTATTTACCTCATCAAGTTCAACCAGGACATTCCCACTACTTCCTGCAGGCAGATCTGCTATCTGAGCTTTGATTGCCTTGGGGATAGGACCTCGCCTGCTAGTGATAGCAAAAGCTGCTTTCTGATGCCTATAGAGTGTAATGATACCTCTGTGCTTGGTGACAGTATGGTGCATTCCATCTTTTTCTGAGTTGGATCCTAATAAGGAAAAAAGACATTTAATCAAACTATAGGTGAGCAAATGTTTACTGCTCCTAAAAAGTCATAATGTAATTTTAAATTGAGCAAGACCTCAATTTTCATAAAGGATCCTGTTGTTAGACAATGAAATGGTAACAAAACTGTCTACTTGAATTAAGATTTATACTGAATATAATAAAAGTTGTAGAATCAAAAACAATGAAAAGTAGCACATGCAATGATAGTTTCTTCCCCCCACCCCCAAGACAGAGTTTCTCTGTGGCTTTGGAGGCTGTCCTGGAACTAGATCTTGTAGACCAGGCTGGTCTCGAACTCACAAAGATCTGCCTGTCTCTGCCTTCCGAGTGCTGGGATTAAAGACTGCTGTCTGGGAGGCCAGTACAGGACTGATCCAGACCCCTGAACATGGATGTCAAATAGAAGGCCCCTGGTAGTGGATTTAGTATTTTTCCCTGGTGTAAGAAGGGACTTTGAGAGCCCATCCCACAGGAAGGGATGCACTCTCGGCCTGGACACATGGGGAAGGGCCTAGGCCCGGCCCAGGATGATGTGGTAGACTTTGGGGAGCCCCTATCGAGGGCCCTACCCTGCCTAGGGAGTAAAGGGTAGATGGGGTGGGGATGGGGGGGAGGGAAGGGAGAGGGAGAAGGGATTGATGTGAAACAAGCTTGTTCCTAATTT